TTCTGTAATAACAATTATGCACCTTGCTTATTTAGGTGTGATGTTTGAAGCATCATTTACTGTTCAAGAATCTGGTTATTCATATAACCACACTATAAGTAAGTGGGAAAATCTCAATTTCTTTAGTCATGGCTTTGTAGGGGTTATGTATCTAGGTTACATAATGATGTAAATCTTGTAATTCTAATAAGACTGATAATTTGTGCACCTTGATGTTTATATTTGTATTTTTTTTATAGTAGGAAATCATGGACTTTCAGTATTAATATTTGATAATTACTAATATTTCTTGTAAACAATATTTCATGATGAAAATTTATCATTATGTTTATTATTATTATGTTTATTTTACTATATAGGTTATAAGGTAAAAGCATTTGCATTGAATGATTTAATTGAATTTCATAGTATAAATAATACAATTTTTTATACCATGTAATTCAATTAAACAATTTAATGTTAATCATATAAGTTTTCCAATAACATATTTACTGCTACCACATATAAATCGTTATACTCACTCTTCACATATCTACTACAAGCCATTGTCAGACTTGTCTGGAATTTAAAAACAAATTTAGGAATAAATATATCTTTTTCTCTTTATAATATGTATTAGTCTAGATAAAAACTTTTAGAACATTAAATCAGCACAGTTTTGTAACATGAAAAAAATTTATTACTATTGTGAGCACACTTAATTATGCCATTGTAGATTATACACTTAACACTGCCATACATTAAGGCTTTTATGAGGTTAGAGCCATTGAATAAATCCATCACAAATGTTAAAATGTTGTTTTACTTGTTTGTTGTGTGTTCGTACTTCTACTTCATATGTTGCATTACTAACATGTGAAATTTGTATTCTATAATTTAATTCTTCTAAAGATAATCTATCTACTTCTTTAGATGAATGGAAATATTCAGGTCTGGTATATAACACAGTAATTTTGTAGTCTTTTGTAATTTTTTTTATAACTTTCAACAATGATTTAAGGTACAAATCCATTCTACATATTTTATAGTTTTGTTCAGACCAATAAAATGCTGTCAATGTGTCAAAAATAATAAATGATATATTGCAATTTTTTAGTAAAATATTCTCTAAATTCTGTAGGGTTACATAAAACTCAGTTGTGTCAAATAATTCCACAAGAAATAATTTCTGAAGTGAAGCCTCAAAAAGAACATCTATGTTATTTATATCTAAATTACAATTTGATGAACTTTGCTTTAAACATTTTATAAGTTTACTTTTAAATGCTTTCAACAAAATGCCCATATCGAAGTTGCCGTCAGTACTGAAAATTAAAATTCCCGCTTCTACGCCACCTAACTCCGTAGGAAGTAACGACTGACATATTATATCAAAGAGAAGACTGGAGATATTTGCCTTGCTAAATATTTCAATAACATCCCCTTGCTGTGGTCCATTTTCGAATAATATTGGATAAAAATTTTCAATTCCCGGCTTTTTTAGAAGTCTCGTCAGTAACTGTATACCTGATTCGACTTTAAATTGTTTTGACATTTTGTAGTTGATTCCAGTACATCTAGTTTTCTAGTTTGTTCAATCTTTTTTACGCACTTACACGTCTAGGTTAGGTTTTATTGAGTTGAGTGAGTTTGAACCTTGAGTTTCATAAAATGTAATGACATTGTTTATTATTATTACACAAGTGACATCAATACAAAGGATAAATAAGTTTTTTTTATTTAATTTTATGACCTGGTAGCATAGACCTTCAGGTCATATCTTATTTGGAAAATGTTCGTTACTTTGACAAATAAGGATGGGCGTTAATTCAAAGATTAGTTAAATTAACTGTTTTACGTAATAAGAATTGTTTGAATAACAATTCTTATTTATAAGATTTACGGTATCCTGTACGAAGGGGCACAAAATCATCGAGACAGCGGTTGAAAATGTTTTATAAATTCTGTGCAGTCCAGACATTTCTCTTCTGCACTAGAATAATCGCCAGTCGCCAAGTCGCAAGCAATTGCAGTCGTTCTGTAGAGCAGATATCGGTGGCCATGGGGTTGCTGGACTGACCGTGAACGTTGTTTTACTGTTTGATTTGTATTCTTTTGAAGTTTGACCTGACCTAAAAGTCTTTGTTACCAGGCCATAAAAAAAAATTGACGTAAGGCTAACCTATTGGCAAAACGTCAATTTAAAATTGTTATTGGAATTGGACTTCGGAATTAAAATTATATTAACAAACATAATATACTAAGATAAATACTTTGTTTTGAGTAAATATACCATTATCCTTTAAAATTAATGGTCGAAGTATATAATACTTTTATAGTACAAATATAATAATGCTCTATTTCAAGTTAAAATTCTTTCTTTTTTATATTTTATTATTAGTGTTAAATGTTAACTATGTTGTTACTCAATTTATAACTGCAAGTATTATAGGCAGTACCGTACTTGGCGGTTGGTTCGGTTGGGATACGGTGAAGGATAATACATTCTGTCTTTTGCCGAAGGTTGAATGTTGCAATGATAAACATGTACCCTATAATTTAAGCAGTAAGTTCGCATTTTAATGTCTATTTCAACGTTATTTTTTTTTCTTGCTGAAATTCCAATTCCTTTTTAACAGGATTAAAAGTGTCCCTGTCCCAAAAGATGTTTGGCCAACCACTTGTGAATGAGTTGGTTAATATTTTAGTAGCTCATAAGGAATCTATAAAAGATGTGAATCGCCAAAACAAGAAAGCTCTTGTTATAAGTTTACATGGCTGGTCGGGTGTTGGAAAAAACTATGCCGCATCTATGATAGCAGATGCAATTTATGCTAAAGGCATGCAGAGTCGTTTTGTAAAGATGTTCATGGGTAAGAAAGATTTTGACTGCAGTGATATGGAGAAATCTAAAGTAAGTCATATAATATCCCACCAATTTATTTTAAACAACTGCGGTAGATAATATTATAAGACTTATCGGGTCTCTTCTACTGTTTCCAGAAAGATTTGATGGCGACTATTAATCTGATAGTAAGTAGTTGTCCCACGTCTTTAATTATATTTGATGAGATCCATGACATGTGTCCAACAATTTTAGATACTATAAAGCCAATGCTAGACCATCACCATGCTGTTGATGGAATAGATTACAGGTAAATCATTTTAATTGGAACATTGTCAAATGATTAATTTTTGTCATAATTTGCTTAAATATTTTTTTATTGTGGCACATTATTATGATTATAGGAATAGTATATTCATTTTTATATCTAATATTGGAGGGCCTCAAATAGCAACAAATTTATTAGAGCTATATGACAAAGGAATAAAAAGAAATGAAGTGGAGTTCCACCATTTCGAACCTATAATAAGGCGTACATCGTATTACACAGGTAAAACTATTATTTTCACTAATTTTGAACAATATTAATAAATTGTAAATTCTAGTAGTGTTACGCTACAATTTCTGTAACTCCACATCAAGCATGCATGTATGTTATTTTTCCTTTTCATTAAAATTATAATTTTTTTTTCAACATTTAACTATAACAATCGTACAATATAAATTGAACTATTTTTTTTTGTTATTTAGGTGGTTTCGAGAAGTCATCTACAATAGCTCAGCACTTAATTGATCACTACATACCATTCTTGCCTTTGGAACAGCATCATGTGGAAATGTGTGCCTTAGCAGAGTTCCGTGCCCTTGGTGTATTGCAGCCCACTGAAGAAATGATGATGTAAGTAATTCTATCATTATGTAAACCAACTATATTAAGATAATAAAACAGACTGTAAAATTGATTATTTACACATACAATGCCACCATGTGGTTTTAATTTCATACAAAATAATCGAAGCAAGGGACTTATAAATATTTTAATAATTAATACTTAACATCTTTGCAGAGATGCCCTATCAATCATTACATATGGACCCAGTGAAGATCAGCCCATCTTTGCGAACAATGGATGTAAAAGATTCGTAAAACACATTCCTTATGTGATACAAAAGTATAAACCGAAAGAAGAATTATAAAATTTTGTTAGCACTTTTGTGATATAGTTTTACAGAAATGATAGCTTTAAGCTAATGAATAAAGCTCAGCTAAAAGCTAATGTTAAGATCTAATCTTTTTATTTCTTATTATTTATTAACACCTTTTTAAATTAAACTTTATCATAATTGAACTTGTAAATATGGCCATTTTGTCAATACAAATATTTAAAGAGCAAAATTAAGTCTGACCAAATGTTAATTTTTTTTATGTAATAATTGTAGAATATACTTTATAAAAAACAGTTTTATACTTTGTGAATGTTCAAAAATTATGTTTAGTGAGTCAGTTTTTCTTATTTATATTTTTGTCATTTTAATATTTATACTGTGATTCATTACAAATATGTCCAATTACAAAGTTTTCTAGCATTGTATTATATTATTCCATAAGTTTTCTGTTTATGATATTTATGTGACTTCTAAAATATTATGTGACGGTAAAAATGTTTACTATAATCAGCATTTGTATAAATCACATAATACTTTTCTTAATTTTCTCTTCGTGTATTGTTTATAGGTTGTTAAATACAGGTAAAAAAAAGTTCTATTTAATTTACTCGATATTTATTTCAGTTTATGCAGGTGGTCTTATTTATGTTTCTTTTTTAATTAACAAAGCTTACAAGGAAGATTTTAGGGAAATCTGTATATTCTTAGAATGCAAAAAAAAATGATAGCATATGTTTTGTTACCATTAAAAAGATAAACTAAATTTCTCATTATGGTATTTTACCGTTGTAAATATGTAATTTTTACTTTGGTTTCATTTTTGTTTATTTACTATATAATGCACTTAGCTTATATACTTTATAGCGGAAGCTTATATCTTAGAGTAAACTTGTTTAAATATAAAAAATGTAAATATTGTAAGAAATAAAAGAATATGTATTAAATATTTTTTGATTTAATGATATTATTTTTTGAATTCTGAAAACATGTTTTTCTTTAAAGTAGTAAAGATTATTTATGCTTAATAAAAGCAAATAATAAAGTCTGACCTTGAGAAGTAGTCTGACGTTGCCTTAAAGTGTTTTACTGTTGATTTAAATTACAAAAGATGAAATGTGTATAAAAAGCTAATATTATGAACTAAGTCTTTTGGGGATGACACTTATAATCAAAAATAAAAAAACAAAGATACTTATTATAAAATACCGTGAATAATCTTTAAGCATTTTCTTGCATGTAGCTTTTAAAATTCCTCTTATCTCAGTAGTTCCATATAGATTTTTTTAATAAATATTGAACACTTAAAAAATATTATGTATTTAACAAACACATAAATGAAGGAAATTATCAGGATAACTCATATGTTCGGAGAGCCACTGTAGTGGGGTGTCTGGTGGAATCATTATTCCATGTGTCCTCAACTTAACTGAAACGAAATTTAAATAAAATTATACATGAGAATTTTGAAAATAGATTCACTTATTGTCCTTGAATTTTGGTATATTTTAAATTTCTTAGTTTGTGTAGAATAAAATATCTTTTCTGGTTTAAATCTCTATTTTCAGTAATATATTTCAAAATGTTGCACACCTTCAATTTTATCAGGAAATAATTCCGATATTAATTGCTGCAAAACTTTCCTACTGCCATCATTGTTTTTTGGGCTCACTAAACGCTGATTACATGTGCCATCATCAGAATAAACACGTATAGGAACATGTTTAAAGCCTTCATTTTCTCCATGTGATTCCATTAACCTTCTGTTGATTGCCCAAAATTGATCAAATTTATCTAAAACATGATAAAACAGATTTAGTACACATCTATTTATCAAGAGATTATATAACACTAGCTGTCCCACGCGACTTCCTCCGCGCCTTTGAAGAAATATGTAATTAGTGGCCTATATGTCATCCATTACAGAACAGAAATTGTCCAACAATAATTCAATCCATCCAGGACAGAAAGTTAATGCCGCAATTGTTATATTAATTTCAACTCCCAGGGTGAGTCAGTGGCACTAATCATGGCAAGAGAAACTGTTGTTTTCTTACCATTTTGTAATCCTAGCCATAATTGATTGTGATCCTTTTTTTGCATTGTAGACATCACTTGTCCTCTATGTTTGAGTACATCAGCTTCCTTGATTGTTGACATAAAGTGTGCTTCAACAACATCTCTATAAACAAGAAGTATATGTTTATTTAATTTGATAGTTTTTATTTGGAAAATTGGCAACAAATCCAAAGCACCACAATATAACTATTTAATTACCTATTAAGTGGGATCATACTTACTTATTTGGACATCGTAGGAGTATGGTCTCTGGAAATTTTGTAAAATGTACAGTCAATGTCCAAGGCAATTGTGAATCACTGCCACAATAAAGGTCATACAGGAACCCAATAGGATAATGCCACTTCAGTGGTTGCCCATTATAATCAAGCCACATTTCACTGTCTGCGTTTTCTTGAGAAATGTAACGCAGGAAGTGTCTTTTCATCTGTAGGAAATTACGAATAAACTAATGTTATAATTAATAAACAACAATTATAATATATGACAGTTCATTATTTGTAGAAAAGAACAAGGTAAGTTAGTAAAATCTGTTTTTTATAATTAATTAACCTACATAATTCTTTACATTCTCTTTATAGTAGGTTTATCACACTAAAACTGTAATTTGGACGTCAACTTACTTTATCAGTTACTAAAGGAAAGTAACTAAGCCTGGGAACCATCACATAAAAAGGGTCTGGTTGTTGTATTTCCATTATTTCCTCTTGGTCTAATTGAAAACAAATGGGTAATTTTCCGTCCCATATTTCACGAAGAACCTCTCTGTCGTTTGCCATAGTTTATATGGTATCTATATGATAAGGTAAGGTTTTCTTTTCGCAACACTTTGATATTTATGTATCGATTATTATTGATTTTTTTGCAATGTTTTGCAAAACAGGAAACAGCTGATTTCAAAGACTAAACAAGTCATTGAACATATCGATCAAATTTTACACTCTTTGAAAAAGTTAAAAAACTCAAAAACACTATTTTATCATTTTTAAGGTGTTTAAAAAAAGTTTTGTCAATAGCACTTTTAGCCTATTAAATTTGGTTAAATTAAAGAACACATATTTGAAAACCTGTAAAAGTTTGTAAACTTAACAGAGAAGTTGACACTTGTCAGCTGTCAACGTCAATATCTATCAAATTCAAGCACGTGGAGACGTTAAGGTTTTGTTTTGTGTATACTTAAAAAATTACTTACTGAAAAGGACATATCTTTTATGGCAAATGATCAGATTTTTATAAAAAATTAAGAAGGGGATAAAGGAAACTATAACCAAGAACATATTTTACCTTGAACGACGTCAAATTGTCTAACTCAGACCCTGCAAATTGTGCCTGCATATTAGAATTCAAAAATGGGAAAGAAAAGGAAGTTAGCAGCCAATAAAGATGACTTTGAATATGATCCTATTCCTAAACATTTAGTTACATCACATATAAAAAAGCAAGAAAAGCGTTTAATTGTAATATTAGAGAACGCTCAGCTTGAAACTGTTAAGGTGAGAATTTATTTTTCATTTGCGTTTAATTTATGTTGCTTCTTAGTGATTATTCTTTTCTTTTTAATATTTTAGAATGGCAACAGTTTTGAACTTCTGAATTGTGATGATCATGCTGGTATATTGCGTAGAAATGACAGAGATCCTGGGTCATGCCGTCCGGACATCACTCATCAGTCATTACTGATGTTGATGGACTCACCTTTAAACAGAGCTGGCCTTTTGCAAGTATATATTCACACAGAAAAAAATGTTCTCATTGAAATCAATCCACAGACTAGGATACCAAGGACTTTTAAAAGATTTGCTGGATTAATGGGTCAGTATCCTGAAACTAGTTGTTGGTTTAACAATTAATTTTTAATATGTATAATTGTCATTTGGCTTTCTTTTTTTGTACTTTAATTGTAATTTAATTTAACATTGCACTTTAATTTAAAGTATTTTTTATTTTATTTTAGTTCAACTTCTTCATAAATTTGCGATAAGAGCATCTGATGGACCCATGAAATTATTAAAAGTTATAAAGAATCCTATAACATCACACTTACCTGTAGGGGTAAGAAAAATAACAATGTCATTCAGCTCCAAAATGGTACAAACATGTAGAGACTTGGTACCAAAAGAGGAGCCAATAGTACTTATAATTGGGGCCATGGCGCATGGCAAAGTGGAAGTGGATTATTCCGAAGATGTTCTATCAATCAGTAATTATCCTTTATCAGCCGCCTTAACATGTGCAAAACTGTGCACAGCATTTGAGGAAGTTTGGGGAGTCGTGTAATAAGTATAATTATAATATTAAAGAATTTAATTATAATTAACAAATAAAAGAATGTTTGTTTTATTTTTAAGACATATGTGTTGATATACAAATATGTATCTGCCAAAATTTTATAATAAAATTAACAAGAAAATGTAAGTTGAGTCTTGGACATGCCAGCGAAAATGGTATGCACATCATATTTTGAACTCGTGTTCAGAAATTGTTTTGAGGGATTACCTTGCAACATTGTTGTAAAACACATTTTACTACGTTCGAAACCGTATTCCAGTCAGAGTTAATCAAAAGCGAGTTAAGTCTCAGGCTACAGCTTATTGATTCGGAAGAATTTATAACCGCTAACTAATTTTGGCACTTAAATCGAAACTTAAAATTCGACAACTTATTTCTCGTTTAAAAATTGCCCATAAATTGCTACAGGCGCTCAAGAAATATTCTATGTCTGAATCAACATTATAAAATACCGTCCTTGCCTGTGATTTTGTCCGCGAGGAATTTGAAAAAAATAGTATGGGGCCTATGCCTATGAACTATTCCAGACAGTAATCTGTTTCTGTGCCAAATCTAGAGCCATTTAGCCGTTTGAGAGTTAGGGAACATACCCACACTACGTGACCTATTTTTTTAGTTTTTTCTACCCGTCTCTCCCGTCGATGACCACTCGTAGTAGTTACACGTAGTAATTCATAATTATGTTTAATTCATAATTTCAAAGGCAAAAATTCATACTCTTCTTTATAGCATAAGACTGCATGCATACTTAAATTACTAGTAAATTATGTATCTCTTTTGAAAAAAAAAACGACTACGTGACTAAAATCTGAGCCGCCTAAGGACTACCCCCCCCCCTCCTAAACGAGTCACGTAGTTTGGTTATCCATCCATCCAAACATTCACATTTATATTATTATATAATACGACGGTATTGCCTGAAAAGTACAAATAATACATTATTATACAAAGTATGATAAAGAAAATTTGTCAACCACAAAAATAATACAGTAGACCGTCCGTTATATAAAAACTACAAAATTCCCTGCAGTAGCGGAAATCGCGAGACATCCGCCAAATTAGTAACAGGCGGTTCGAACCTTACACACGTTACAAAATGCCTAATTAGTACAAGATGGCTTATTTTTTGTTCCTAAAATCCTGTCGTTAGCTTCTGGTGCTTCGAAGCTTGTTTAGTTTTACGCCCCTTATTAACGAGACTAATAATCTTCAGTATTTTCAAATCTGTGTTATCAATGGGCTGCATTTTAAAACGTAACATTAAATCTTATAATTCTTTTATGTAGTCCGCAGCCATAAAACCAAAACTTTAATAGACCGAATTCCGATTTAACATGAAGAAAAGAGTTAAATTAGTTCAAAGTCTCATTTTGAGCGTTAACTTAGACATTAATCATTCGAGTAAGGTTTAGGAAGGAGCGTTGGTATACTTAAAGTTTCTCAACAAAGCTTTAAGAATGCATTAAACGCTTTAGCAAGAGCCGAAGGGACAACGTTCGACGTAAATGAAGGCGGCATGCAATGAAAGCGGTTGCCGCCACCGCTTGACGCGCCGCGCCGCCCGCCACCGCTTGGGGACTAGATTCTCGACAAGTTGCCATAAATGGTATCGGTACAGTTTTACTCCGTAAGCCAATTAGCCTTACAATAACATGAAACACCTACGACCATAAATATATGCATTACGAATTGTACTGCAGATTTTATCTTGCTACATACCTATATGTACTAACAAAACGCCGTTAATTTATCATGAAAACTTACATTTATCAAAATCCAACTAAGCAAGTTTGTCTTAATTACCTTTAGATTTACTTTCACATTACATCCACGGGTTTATTAAAAATTAGACCACAAGTCCAACGTAACAAGAATTCCCTTTGGAAAAAAATACATGACTGCTGTTCCAAGTGTAACCTCTAGCTCTATTTATGTTTGCATTCTAATACAGAGCTTATTAACTTAAAACAAAACATATAAATAATTAGGTGCGAAAGATAAAAGATGGCGCTAGATGTACCAATGTGATTACTGCTTAGGAATGTAAGTTATCAATGATCTATGAAATATTATATACACGTAGCCATATTAGTAAAAATACTCAGTTTATAAAATGAAAATAAACACAATATTGCATCAATACACGTACTTGACAAGGAGGGACAAGAAAACAGCCGTTCGTTAAATGAAATAGGCAATAAGCGATGCCGCAAACAAGCTGCTGGAGTCGAGGATAAAATATCATTTGCGAACAAACTGATATCGAGTTACAATTCCGCGAATTTAGAAGCTGGACAGAATAGATAAACAAGTGTCGTGATTGTTTGTAATGTCGTAGAAATGTTTTGTTCAATTTTCCAGTGCATCAATGGTGTACTGACGAAAGTGCCAGAACAAAGTAGGTTTACCTACTATTATACAATTGAGTACGATTGAATAAAGTTAATAAAAATATACTAATAGGTACTCTGTAGATATATAGAGATCAAGGAAAAAAATGTTTCAACAGTAGAGGAATCTTAAACATTTGCCATAAAATGTTGCTTACAAAATATTTGTTATTCCGTTTATGTAACAATATATGAGACGGCGACAAGAAACAACATTCTTGTCCTTATCAAAGGAAGCGGGAACCACGTGGAATGCAGAGCTGTTCGCTTCGTCATCGCTGTACAAGTATACCTACATAGTTATAATATAAGTACATGTTATATATACCTACAACGTTCACTCCGTCGACGAGGTGGCGTGATGTGTGACTAATAAGTACCTCAGTTAACTACGACTCGACGCTTACCCGAGCCCGATTAGCGGAGTAGGTATAACGCGATAGAATCATTCGTATAACAAACAAAGTCGTATCAGCGTTCTTCAATCGTAAGCAAAAGGACACAAATACCTAGGCTGTTTGTCTTTGTATTGCGAAATTGTAGACTCATTTAAATTCTACAATAACGCACACAGAATAAACTTCAACACGACCGCGTTTATATAACAAACATTTTATAGTGCGATACAGGTGCGATGACGATCGCATTGATCGCAAGCAGTGGTAATCAACCCTGTTGCTGTTGCATTGGTATCGGGTAAATTTCGTAATCGGTGTTGTTTACGAGGCCGTCCGGAGCGGGCGCCGGGCGAGTTACATGTGAATCGTGCACGCACCACATTGCAACCATGTTGATCCTAAATACGCGACGAATAAAGTTTAAGTGAATAAAGGCGGCATTTCTTGTATTTATAAAAGTGTACAAAAACGAAGTTATAAAATTAATTCATGTCAGGATCAAACGATTTTATTAAAGATTTGAAATTGAATGTCGGTCGGCACAAGGAGCTCGCGCGCCAGACGCAGCGGCGCGGCGGCGGGGCAGCGCGGCTCGGGTCGGGCGCCTTCGCCGCGCGCCGCGCCGCCAGACTGTTCGGCGCCTGCGCACACAAAGGGCTCATTGTATTCTTCGTCGTCCAATTCTATAGCAGAGTCCCTCAATTTTTTTTGACAAAATTCCTAATACCAGAATGACGGCGAACAATGGGTTTCCGTCCTTTTATTGGCACCTTATTTTTTGTCGAGTTTTCAAATGGACCTACCTAACTTATAAATAAAATCACAACCTGTTCCGACATCGACGTAGATACCTTCTCACCTACTCATTATGAAGTGGGACTCGGCAAACGATTTTACAAACAAAAGCACTTATCCTTTACCTGTCCTTTTTATTTTACTGAAAGTGAATCGGAATAAATCTTATTGATTCTAAAATCTTTAGTTTCATAAAAAAATTATTATCCTTAACTGTTAATGTTGAAAATTGCTGCAGGCAAATATGCTGTGAATATTCTAAATAAGCTTTTTTAATATAGTTTTAACCAGTTTCATACTTGAATAAGATGAGATTGACAATGATGATTCATGTACAACTTTAAGATCCAGCTTTCGAGATTGAATATAGATGTGAGGCTCGGAGCAGCGTGCGCGTTAGGTGCGGCGGACGCCCACGGGCCACAAGCAGCAGCCACGAGGCGCGGCGTCCGGCAAACAGGTTCCCTCTCACCGACGCCGACGACTGACCCGCGGCCACGTGAAAATCGCTTGCCGACTTTGTTACACATCTATCTACATCGTCCCTATGATGATTACTTAACCTAATAAAGCTTAAAGTATATAAACAATAATGATGAAACATATCGTCAATACTAACTTCGTAACTAATAACTATATAATTAATCATTATAATAATGTGTCATTCAAAAGTTATTGTATATTACTGAATATCGGTAATTATTATGACTCTATTAATCTATAATTTGGTTCGTCAATTACGCAAATCGTAATATTCCCACGTTATCTGGAGTGGCAATGGTAGGTATAGGTATACGTGGAAAGCGCTGTGCTTGAGCGTGCATCGCATTGGTATTCGGGTGATGTCAACGTGGCGTTATGTTATCTACATCCGCCTGAGTGTCGGTGTCGGTGGGGCCATGACGCAGGGCCTCACATGCCTCACACTAACAATGCCCGCCGCAATCTCTATGTAGGTACAAGCTTTATAAGCGATTTGCGTAAACGGTGACAGTTCGGGTTGCATTCAAAAGGTAATTTCGATAAGATTAGATTGAATAGAATGCGAAGGTTTATGTCCGCAATGTTATCTTGATTCATTGTCCTTGAGATATGTGAAGTTGTTTTTCTTTTAACTTATATTGGTTTATCTATGTGCAGTGAAATTTGGAACGGCTATTTTTATCAGGAATACACAATTTCTCCTGAATAGATACCTAATAGGTGAACTAAGTATATACATACTTTATTTTAAGTTATTTAAATTTCAATACCTATAAATAAAAGTATTTTATGAAGATCCAACAAAATTTAAAATATTTGAAACATATTCATTCGATAAAAACATCAAAAAATATGTTAAACATTTATTAATCAAACATCTTGGCAATAATTAAGACACTTATTTTGTAGTGACGAGTGATTTTGTTTGATCATTTTGTGTGTCTATATTTATGTGATGCGAATACGCGGGATAC